TCTTATATAGTGTTCGAGCCTCAATCCCAAAAGGGGTTTCATTACATGTGCAATTTAGGTGTTTTCCTAGGTAGTAAACCTTGGAAGACATCCACATTACCGCTATCATAATTGAAGCTCTACAAGAAGACAAGGGAACGCCCAGGTACTCACCAACCACACAATTGCCCTCCAGATTCTTTGAGTGAAGGTAGTAACACTTGGATTCTATTTATTCAAGCTAAATGTACATACAATAGAGCTTTTTAAAAAAAAAAGTAAGCTCGGAGAGACCATGCCATCGAGGCGAAAATTATCAAACACATCCATTTTCGTCATCCTGTCATGACCCGCGACACACCGACATCTAGTGCTCGCTTCTCGCTGAAATTATGCAGTCTCTCTCCAATGAGATACACTTCGTCGCGGATATTGGTGCGCCAGACCGCTACTCGTTTCAGCAGTAGATGCGCCATCCATACAGACAGCACAATCAACAGTGTAGTGGGATAGGCGTAACGATAAATATTAGGCTGCACTCCGATGTGGGAGTAGAAAAGTGTCCAGCGCACGATAAACCCAAATGACAAGGGCAAAGTGACCGCAACTGCGGTGAAGAGGATGATCGGAAGAACAAGGGCACGAGTAGCAAGGCCCGCGTTAGGCTTCAGCCAACCATCTTGGAAGACACTGTTGACCGCAGCTGCCAGCCAGGATTGGGGCTGCCAGAAAGTCAACTTGATGCCCATCTGAACATACAACACCCCAAGCGCCCAGTCCTGAACGACGTGGACAACATGCGATTCTCCATCACCAAAGAGGGTGTGCGCTGGAATGAGAACGTATAGTTCAGTGAGCAGCGCAAAGAGTGACGGTAGAAGGATAATCGCAACCTGGGCCATGTAGAGAAGCCGAGCAGCATGCATCACGAGGCCTAGACTGGTCTGGGCTGCTTGGCGAGGGGAGCGAAGGTATGCGCCAGAATGCTCTCGCATGAATTCAAGTGCGGTACTGGAGTGGTACGCCAGGTAGGCAAGCGCACCGACCACACAAAGACCACTTGAAAAGGCGTAGACGTCGTTCACCGGAGCCGGGGTAGAGTAGGATCCGATAATCTTCCGACCAATGACCAAGGGAATAATAGTGATGCCTACCCCGGTAGTGGCGGCAAACAGCCAGATTAGAAGGATAAAGGCAGCAATCCGAGTCCGGAAGGAGGGAGGGATGTAGACTTTGGTGAACATGTTGCTGGATCGGCCATGTAGCCCATCGGCAGGATCAGGCTTCCTATCGACGCGTTCATTGTCCTCGGTGACCTCAAGGAAAACGTGGTTGCCTTTAGGGATGCGGACCTGATCAGAGCCAGGGGCGCGCACGTATCGACCATCGCGCAGGAAGTACACGTCACGGTTTTCCCGCTCAGCTGCAGCCTGTTGATCCTCTCCAATTACTGGGTGTTCCCAGTCACCCTGGCTTCTAGAGAGAATACCCCGCCAGGTCTTCCGAACGTGGTAGCCTTCTTCCTCCAGGTGTCTTTCGGGGAAGAAAAAGTTGCTGAGACGCAAGAAATGAGCGCACTTGTGGAACCACCAGTCATATAAATCATGCAAACCATCTGAAGGTTTGAATGATTGAATGACTACAGGCAACACGAAGTTGTAGAATAGGAGATCAACCGGGAACTCGAGCATCGGGGCACTAGCAGACCAGTGAATTGGGAGAACGCCATCAAGGGTAAAGTGCAAGCCCCAGACGACACCTCCTAGACAAATGATCACTAGCGCACCGTATACAAGGGCACTGAAACCGATCTTACGGAGCTGGGTAGTGATGCTTCGTTCGAGAACATCACGTATTGGGTGGAAAGTTGGATCATCGGGGTCACGAATGAAGTCTAGGATGAAGCAGTTAGCAAACCAATCAAAGTCTATCAAATGGATAGCAGCACTTACAAAGCACACCGCTTCTCAAAATCTTTCGGCACATGGAAACAAACAAGGCAAAGTGGAACATGTAACAAGTGCCAACAAACCAGTGCACGAAAAGCGAAGTGAGCGGGGATGCAGCAGTAAAAGCGATACGAGAAGCCACTGTAGCGTCGGAGAAGAGCGGGAGTAAAGCAAGATCAAGAAGACTGCCACAATACAGAGGGAAGACAATCATCTCGATCCCGATGATGAGAATGACCTTCATAACCCCTCCGGCTTGTATCAGGACCTCAGCAAGCAGGCCTTCGATCCTCTGTCCCCGATTGGCACCAGAGATCAGCCCTGTGATTCGTAGATAGAGAAGCCCGATCATGAACGCAAGCAAATATCCCATGAAGATAGCGATAACACGATCCTTGGAATCCCATACCGCCAGGTCATAATCGACTGGCACTGTGGCAGAGGCAGCTTTTGCTGCACTTGCATTCATGAACCTTGTTCCAGGCATTGAGAAAAGTGATGATTTAGCGAAGGTGATGAGTTGTTGTTGGGCCTGACCAATAAAGTTCTTGACATAGGAAATGTCAAAGTCCAAAGAAATGGCACCGGGAACACCGAGGGTCACAAGCCGAAGTGGGAAGTCATGCAGGATAAACTTGACAGTGGCATAGACCGATTGGAACATAGCACCAATGCGAGCCTGGTGTAATTTAAGCGCCTGGTGCGAGAGGACTGAAAACATGGGAATATCAGACTCATGGAAGACTAGGAATGCTTTGATCACTTTGTTTAAGCGGTGACTGCTTGCATCGATTAGGGAAAGCGATGCACTTGTGACAGACTTATCCCTGGTGATCCACTCTCCAATGGGCAAAAGAGCACTGAAAGGGCTCAGTACAATTTTGAGAACAAGGCTGAACCAGTACATGAGATATCCCACAACACCAATAAGAGTATCAAGAGCGATGTCTGCGGCGACTTCAACCGCGGTGATGGGAACACCAATGACAAGTTCGAGAGGGTTGGCCAACAACACAAGAGCAATTTTACCCCATAGGTACGGGAGCCAGATACCGATGGCTACTGTGAACGCAATCAGAAGGGCACAGAACACGCCGTTCTGGAAAAGTCCGAAGATCGGGCCATGCATGCCAATGAGGTCCATGATCCCTTCAAAGTCGTCCCCTTCGATTGCATCGATATCATTAGGGTCCAGCCCAGCATCGGCGGCAGCGGCAGCATCGGCGGCAGCATCTGGTTGGATGTTTTCCATCCGATTCGGCAAGGGCACGAATGGGTCTTCCAAGGCCGGATCCTGAACAACATGCTCGTCATCTTCGGGGGCTGGTTCTTCTGTGCCGCGCTCTGCGGGTGTAATATCTCCCCAAAACCATTCGAACATCCGTTCAGTGATGCCGAGTGGAGGCCGATTATCCACTTGTACATTGGGGACTGGAATGGCATTGTCTCTAATCGGTGGCCCATGATCCGCGTTCTGGGCAGAAGGTCCGGCGTCCGCATCAGGCGAATGGTCACCGACACCTCCATCTTCAAGATTAACAGCATCGGCACCGTCGGAGATTTCTGGATTTTCGGAATCTTGAGGACGGGTAGAAGGCCCTGCTGATGAATCCCGGTTTATAGTCGCTCCGGTAATAGCATTCACAATCCAGTCCAAGTCATCCCCGTGAGCCTCTTCACGGAGAATGCGCAGCATTTCTTCATGGTTACCATGAGTCCGGGCCACTAGGTCTCGGAAAGCCAGAGCACGATCCGTAGGAAGGGGGCCTTCTGTTTCGTATTCCGGGTCGTTCACATTATAGTCCCGTAGTTCCGTTTCAACCCCGGGGAGACCATACTCAGAATCATTCGAGGACAGACCTGGGGAAGGAGGAGCAAAATGAGGAAGGATATAATTGTCCAACTCATGGGCTGCAGCGCGTTCATCATTGACCTCATTCTCCGGATGAGCGGGAATGGGTTCTGGTTGTCCAAGACCGCCTTCTTCATTGAATCGATCATTTACCCGATTGTTGGCATTTGCAATTAACTGGAGAGCAGCCTCTCGTTCCCCTTCTGCGATATTGACCATGGGTTGCTGTTGTACAACCCATTCCCGAATCAGGAAGAGTAAAATAAATGCAACGACCACAAGAAGGGTGATAAGCTGCCCTTCCAGTGTATCCATGATCATGTTGTTGATTGTTGGGTACGGTGTCAACGAGTTTAGGAACTTCACATCTGAAAGCCATGATGGATACCGAGGTTTGGTTGAGCTAGTCGTGACATTGTTTTGCCCGTTGCCTTGCCCGACAGTCGAGGTAAATGCGGGCATGAACAGAGTAGGGATAACCTTTTTGATGAGGGTGAGCATGAGCGGCTCACCAGCCGAGAAATTGAGAATTGAAGATCGTGCAGATGGTACAGCAGTAGTAGATGAGATAGCCGCATTAGAGATTGTGGAAGTAATCGAGTCAGTTATTGCAGCATTTACAGCAGTGCCGTTTGAGAACTGTTGCCCTAGACCTTGGGCGGTTTGGGCAGCCTGATTCTGACCATTCTCATTGGCAGACCACCGGCCATCAGCAAGCCAAAACAGTGCCCTCCAGATTGCGCGCATTGACCACGGTAGCCATCCCAACCAGACAAATGCAACGAGAACAAATCTCAGCCATGTTACTAAAGTCCGGAAGCATTGGATCAAGGCTTGCTTCGCAAACAGCGGGGCGGGAAGGCTCTGGGGCATGTTTGGGTCGTATAGTTTGGTAAATCGGAATGGCGTTTTGCAGAGCTCGCAGTGTTTCTTCTGTGAGTGTGACAACCATTCAACGAGACATATTTGGTGGACGAATTTAATACTACCGCTGCACTTGCACGGGTAAAACAGCGGTTCCTCCTCTGTTGCCTCGCCATGACAGATCCGACAGGTATCCAGGTCATCAAATCCCTTTTCCCTTTCGTCATAAGCCGGGTCGTTCATTAGATCGGGGAACGCGGTGTTATCCGCATTGTGGCGGAATTGGTTGTCCGCGAGCTCCATAATTCGTGAATCTCGCCGAGTTGACGGTGGTTGATCAAATGTTCACCATATTCCTAGTCAAGCGGGAATAGAAAAGATATGAACATGCGAAAGGCTTGTATTGGTGGGGCAATCCGAGTTGAGCTGAATATAATGATTAGTGAGGACAGGATTTACAAAACAGCTTATAGGAGTAACGTACCTCACAAGCGTAACTTGTAGATCATGCTTGATTGTAACAACGCAATTCAGCCCAGGTCACTAAGCTGGGATCCAATTCGCTGACTCAGCGGTGTGCGCTGGCAGTACATGAAATTACAGTATTACATGCTTGTTAATGCGATGGACAATGCGGTATTGTCATATCTGCAGTACGGGTAGCCACCGATGACCTCACTGAGCTCTAAAAACAAATCCTTGATTATTGTGTCATATGGGATCGCCTTGTCCCATTCATGTAGTTTGTAATAAAATTGCGCCTTTTCTTTTTCATCGGAATTAAAACATTTGAATTGATGCATTCGACCCTTTCTTCCTTAGAACCAACAATTTTTTTTTAAATTGACCCAGCCTAAGTATCTGACCACGGCCCGTGAAAGTGGCTAGCGCCAAGACCGACGCGAGCATTCCGCCTCCAGTAGCTAATTTGCTTTGATTCATTCAGTCTCGAGCTCCAATATCGGAAAGCCACATATCTAACCGGGCTGTGAGCTTCTCTCCGATGCAGCGATAATCTTCTACTCCGCCGACTCGATCTAAGTGTGTGGAAGGGAAGCCCTCTGCAAATTACGGCAGCCGACCTCGAATCTCGCAAGGAAATCGCGTGACCTCGATAGGGTCAACCTCATTTGCGATGGTAGTGAAAGAGAATGGCCAAGTGACAGATGTCAAGGCCAAAACAAAGGGCCGAACGGATCTTGAAAAGCCACGGAGGAAGGGCTTCGCGCGATGGACAGTCGGGCTTGTCGTGAGGTGAGTGATGGTATCGCCATGCTTGTACATAGTCAAGTTCATCTTTTAACATGTTCGCTTTTTAGGCTATGTATCTGGTATGCACTCGTCACACCGTTCCTCAGATGCCCATCCCGCCTTGCAGACCTCACAGAAACATCGCCTCGAGTCTGCAAGCCTTACCTGATTGCTCGTTCGCACGTGGAACCTTATGTGACCCCATATTATGATATTTATGCAGCGCCTTACGTTGATCAAGCCCGGCCATATGTTGATCAAGCCCGGCCATACGTGGAAATGTTTAATCAGCGAGTTTATACCCCGGTGTCGAAGGTTGCCAAATCAGGATATGAAATGTATGGAGCACCGACATTGAAGCAAGCTCAAGCGTATGGGATTGAGCAATGGCAAAATCAAGTCACACCAAGACTACAAACTTCTCAAAATAAGGTGCACCAGTTTTACTTGGCCGAGATTGATCCCTATGTCCAGCAAAGCGTTGCCGTTGTCTCTCCATACTATCAATGGACCAACACTGTTGTGCTCAATGTCTACCAGGGCCATCTACTACCTTTCTACGCGCGTTCCAAGCCTTTCATCGGGAAAGCTTACTCCACGGGCCAGGGTATTTTGACAACCCATGTCCTGCCCGGGGCGCAGTACACTTGGTCATCCGCGGTCTACTTTGCGAACAGCTCACTATGGCCTCATGTTACTGGTCTTTACTCGGAGCAAGTGGAGCCCCAGCTGGTCAAGATTGGCCAGCGGTTGGCAAGCTATAGGGAGGGCAAGCGACTTCGCGCTGTCATAGAGGACGTGGATAGGTACCTATAGCCCCTTGGTTTCTCTAGTCTATATCGTGTTAACCATATAATTAGCAACTCAACAGTAGAGCCTGTGACCTCCTCGACCTCTAAGTCACAGGAACAAATTCACACCACGACCACTGTGACTTCAACAACATCCACGCCCCAGCCTTCTGTCCAACCCACTCTAACTCCTACCGAGCAAGCGCAGCAAGTCCGGGAGAAGATAGATTCGGACCTTGAGCGATGGCAGGGAAAGTTTGCTTTGGCAGCCGATAAAGGTATTGAGGACCTTGAGGAACGTATTGGGGAGATCGTGTCCGCCCTGGTTGCAAGCAGCGCGAACAGCCACGGCCAGAGCCTTTCTACCGCGCTTCAGTTGGTTTCTGCTGAGCAGCTTTCCTCCATCAAGCAACGTATCAATGAACTCGCGGATTCCATGCCAGACGAGGATACCCCGGAGATCGAGGAGTCTACTAAAGACTTGCTGATTCAGGATATCCGAACTTCTGCTATCTCTGTGAGAGATCGCGCCCATGCACTCCGAGAATGGTCTATCTCGTTTGAGGACGAACTTGTTCGCCGAGTCACTGCTGCTGTCAATTCGACACTGGATGTGCTCGACAGCATTCGCAATCTAGGCTTACAAGAAATTGGCATGCGCTGGGCGTGGATGGATGGCGTCACATACAAGGATTGGGCGAAGTACCATGCCCTCAAAGCACAACTTGAAGAATGGCGCAACGACCTCCGAAATGTCGGCATGAATCACAAATCCGTATCTGACGCCAGAGCAGTGGCAAGTGACATCTTGGACCAGAGCATGCATGAAGCCGAACAAGCTGCCAGAGAACTTGTCCGGTTGAAGGATGTTGGGATCTGGAAGATCGCCGCTCGTGAAGTAAGCGACGATTTCGAAACTCGCACCGAAGCCCCGCCGGCGAGGCCCAAGCCTCAGGAGGAGACCGAGGAATCCGATGAAGAGACCACTGAGGTGGATTCGGATCACGATGAGTATTCTGAAGAGGTGATAGCGTCAACATCGGACGACGCTTACGAGGAAGCCCCGTCCACCGATGCGCCTTCCGCCGCTGTCGATGCCGAAGCAGATTTCGATAGCGCTGATGAGTCTGTTATGAATGATGATATTTTGGTAGAAGAGCAGCCCTCCGCAAGATCTGCCTTTGGTGTTGCGGCTGCCGATGCAAATTCGCATCAAGCGCCTATCCTAGATGACGAGAGTTACGGTGTCCTTGACAGTCTGGCGAGCAAGGCTGGCGATACTTACACCGAGGCGAGCAATACTGTCAGCGAAGCTATCCATGGCACTCCTCTGAGCTCCGGTGAGAAGATTTCCAGTGATGCCTCTGAAAAATATAGCGATGCAGTAGCCGCGTAAGTAGTATAGCATATCCAGCGTGTTTTAAATACAAAATCGAATTCTCGCTAATGCGAATTTCTGCGCCAGTGCATCGTCGGTCATCTACGGCACCCCAACACCGGTTGTCCAATCTTTGATGGGCGGAGCCAGCTCAGCATTTGCTGATTCCACAGATCAGGCTAAAGTACTCTATGAGATCGCGAAGTCTCAAGTTCTTGGCCAAATGGCTGAATCTAGTGCTCCTGCCCATGCCCAGCTCCTAGCTTCCATAGAGTCGGCCTATTCTGGGTCTCTAAAATATGCCACCGATGAGCTGGAGTCGAAGGTCCACGCTGTTCGTGCTACCCCGACGCCATCCGATGTCCGACCTCTGGCCCAGATCTCGTCTATCGCATCTTCCCGGCTAAACCAGGGACTGAGCTTAGCATCCGAACAATTAGCACAAGTGCAGTCACCAGCCACAACAGCCAGTCTTCCTCAAGGAGGTCTCGACCCATTTGTCCTTGATGCGCAGCGTCGCTACTACGAGGCAGTCGGGTTGGCCCACGACCACTACTCTGCTTTTGTTTCTACGGCATCTGGCGCGGTCTATGGTTCTCCGGCTCCCACCCCAGCCGAAAGCTCGAAGGGCATCATTGAGGAGGCCGGGTCTCAATACGAGCGCGCTTCCTTGTTAGCCTCTGCTAGCCTTGCCGCTGTCATCGCATCGGCGAGCTCGGTCGTCTCTTCTGCGGATGGTGGCAAAGCACAAAGCATCATTGATGATGCTTCATCCAGATACAATGCTGCCCTCTCTGCAGCTTCTTCCTCGCTCTCTGCGGCTTCCATTTCGGCCTCCTCGGTCATCTATGGGACTTCCACGGGCCCCGTGAAGTCCCTTTCTAGTCAGGCATCTGAAAACTGGGAACATCTCATTTCCAAAGCCAGCGAGCAGATCTACGGTGCACCAACACCGTATCTGCAGCAAGTGGTAAACAACGGGCACCCGCAGTTTGAGGCAGTCCAAGAGCTCGTCTCTGAACTAATTGTGGGCAAGCAGCCTTCATTCACCGAGAGTGTGCTGAGCAAGCTGCACGCCGCATACGAGACGCCTTACCCGGCTGCCGCTGTCTCCTCCGCCTCTAGCTATATCAACCAGGCCTATGGATCTGCGTCCTCGACCGCTGCTTCTATCGTTTCAGACGTCCCGAAAGTAGAGGAAATCGTGCAACACGCGAATGACCAACTTCATGCTGCTGTTGAAGCCGCCAGCATTGGGATCTACGGAACTCCCAAGGGTCCCTACGAAAAAGCCACTGAAGCCGCAGCCGATGCCTACTCAACGGCTTCCGCTCAGGTCAGTAGCGCGGTCTACGGCCAGGAATCTGGTTACATTGATGTCGCCAAGGATGCCATTGAGAATATTCAATCCACAGCCAGCGCTGCTATCTACGGCGAAGAACCCAACGCAATGGAAAGCGCAACCATCCGTCTTACTGGAGCCGTTGAAAGCGCCAAGTCTCAGCTCGCTGACCTAGCTGCCAACGCTGGCAGCGTTGTATCCGAGGCAGTTGAGACCGCTGCATCCCACGTTGAAGATACAACAAGCAGCATTAAGAGTGCTGCAGCTTCAATCAAAGATGAACTCTGAACGATTTTAATCCAGCCTGTATCATCTCTTTTCTTTCTTTTTTCTCTTTTGATTCAGACTCATTCGTTTTGCTCCGAGCAAAAACTATGCCTTGGAAATACCATTCGCGGCTCACGACGCATTATTCCTCGTATAGTTTGTCACGACGGCCATATGCTCATGATCTGCAACATGCACAGTCTTGCTTTATTTTTTTTTTCCCGGCTTCTATATCCTCATTTTGCGTTTCTCTCTAGTCACTTTGTTATAATACGAGGCTTGTTTTGAAGTGATATATGTTCGGTACATAATGAATGAACGGACTTTTGAGCATTGTATGTGGTTTGTTGCTTGGGCTACCGGGCATCTATAGCTATCACCCACGGCATATAAAATGACACCTAGGTAGCCTACAAAACACGTAGGCAAATGAAATTTAGGCCAAGGGTAGTAGAAAAGTTCGCTGGTCCAATATGTATGGACATAGAAAGAAAAGGGTGCTTAAGATGGTAACTTATAAAGATAACAATAACTTTGGAGCTCCCATTCTACATCAACTCATTTTATACATGTCTTCCACACTCCAACAAAATCACCTATACTTCACAGTGGAGCCTCTCTTTTCTTTCTTCATCTGCGTCTTGCTCTTTGGGGTATCAGCCTCTTGACCGGTATCACCACCACCCATTCCAGCAAATCCTTTCTTTACCCCCATAATTGTGGTGTAGGCAGCGTACACGGAGTATAATGGGATCACAATCCACAGCCACCAGGCCCGGTCATTGAAGAGGCAGGCAGCGACGATGCATCCTTGGGTCCAGTAAAGCACATCCCACATATACTCTGTCAGGCCAGTTGCGTTAAGATCCTCGCCGGCGGAGCGCAGGGAACCATCTTCATGATAGCGGGGCCGACCCATTCGGTCCAAATAGTATTCAATGGCAAGGGTCGGGACAGCCAGGAAGAAGTATGGCTTCAGTGAACGTGGCCGCTGGAAGACAAAGTGCAGCAGAAGGAAGAGCAGGTGCAATGCAGCAGAGATGAGGTGAGTACGGCTGAGGACGGCGCCATTGCGGGTGGCCAGGGATTTGGCAGCTTTCTGTGATACAGTCAGAAAATTTGCCACAGAATGATCAAACTAATCTGAAGTTTAGTCGCAACAAGAAAGCGCCCTCTCCACATACCTGAGCCATGATTGAAAGCGATCACTAAGTGATCTACAATCTGATGTCAAGGATGATCCTTTCCAAATTCAAGATCACCCAAATCAAATGAATTGACCGAGCTTTTCCCCTTTCAAATGGCAAGCAAACGACCGGAATTCGAGGCTGAGCGGAGAGAGAAGACGAAGAGAGGGGACCTGCATATGACAGCTATAGCACATTGGGTGATTGTTGCCCTCCACTACCCTCACCGCCCTCCAAAAACGGCAGAAATGACAAAGGCCGCTTCAGACCAAAATAACAGAAAGAACGGCCGACGTTCATCATATCTTGAGCACATCTTGCAGTCCTCCGCTTCTTTGGAAATGTTCCTGGCACTCTGAGAGACTCATCCTGCGTCCGCAGATGACGTAACCAGAGGAATCCCTTTTCACTTCTTTCTATCCTTCATCCGCTTACCATTCCCGGATTGGGTTTACATTCCTCTTCCAAACCTACGTACCGAGAGCAGTCGATAGCTCCTGCATCTAGACAAATTCAACAAGACATCGGACTTGCTGTTGTCCATGTCTTCCAGTTGTTGATGGGACCATTCGCTCGCGCTGCAACAATCCACTCGATCGCGTCGTTGTTTCCTCCCCGCGTCTTGGAGAACATCATAAAGGCGCCGGACATTGATGTTACAGTAACGCTGGGGAACCGACTTTGCCAATCGCATTATTACCTCAACTTTCAATAATCACCACATAATCCCCGCCTTGCCTTGTGCTATCGCATACCGTGTTGCCGACCCTCACCATGGCCTTGTCCACCGGGCATGTTGCCAGTCAGCTAAGGCACCTCATCTATTACCAACTCGACAATAACCTAATCCGCAATGCGCTCTTCCTCGCTTCGCGCCTCCACGCCTATGAACCGCGGTCCTTCGAGGCCCAATATTTACTCGCCCTTTGCCATCTACACAACGGAGAAGTGAAGGCGGCATTCGAATGCAGCCAAGCTTCGGGCTCGCGCGGTCTGCATGCTGGATGTGCCTATGTCTTTGCTCAGACTTGCTTGGACTTGGGGAAATACTTGGATGGCGTTACGGCTCTGGAGCGCAGCAAACCCCTCTGGGCCTCCAAGAACCACTGGAGTAAGACACCGGCAAACTTTTCCTTCAACTTCGAGCTCAAGTGCTAATCGCATTACAGACAAACATAGTGAAACTCGGCGACAGCACCTGCCTGATGCTGCAGCTGTTTATTCTTTGCAGGGGAAACTCTGGCACGCACACAAAGATTTGACCAAAGCAGTTGACTGCTATGTGGAGGCACTAAAACTGAACCCCTTCATGTGGGATGCATTCCTGGGGCTTTGCGAAACAGGTATGTGCTGATTTCTTCTCTTGGGGCGGGATTTTTCTAATGCAATATCAGGTGTTAATATTCGAGTCTCGAATATCTTCCAGCTCAGCCCAGAACTTCTTGCAATTATATCTTCATCGCCAGAGGAAATAGCTACCGCACCAGACAGTGTGTTTTACGAAGAGGGAAACTTCCCCATGCAGCCTCCTGGTAACCCCGAATCTGACCCTTTTATGGTCTCTGCCTCCCGTGGCGAGGCTGACACCACATTTGGGAGTTCTGCTCTTTGGGAAAAGTTGAATGGGAGCTCTGTCAATTTTGCTGCTATGGCACAGCCAGTTTTCCATGATGGAATGGAGACCCCAGGCGCACAGAGCAGTGGCTCTGACGACTTCCGCATTGCGAACGGCGTCACTGATCCGGAAGCTGGATGGGAAGCACCCTTGGCCCCTGCTCGAAAGACGCGGACAATACAAACTATGAGCCTTGACCATACCGGGCAGCCTCCGCCGCGAATGCGACCAACAGGCATCAGACCTCGACACAAAACTCGAACCGAACCAGAGACTCAACCGACTGCCCCGGTAGAAAGAGATCCCTCTCTTGTATCGAGATTCGGCGACCGCAAGCGCACAGTCTCTGGACAAGTCGCCCACCCCATTCCTTCGTCACAACCGACTGAACCAGGTGCGCCCCAGCGCCGAAGCGTTCGCCTCTTTAACCAGATCAAACCTACAACCAGCAAGCTTTCAAATAGCACACTTACTGGTAGAGATGGCCGCGAGATGAAGAAATTGAGAGGAGGGCCTACAAAAGGACGGGTAGGAGGTGTGCCCACTGTTGGCCGTGTCGTGAGTGGCAACCGAAAACCCATGGAGACGCCCGACAATGATGGTAAAGATAATCGGACTGGCTTGTCACAATCCCATCCGGCCCCTCCATTGCCCAAAAATGCTGAAAAAACAAAAGAGCTCGAAGCCTTGGATTGGCTTTTGGGTCTCTTCAATAAACTTGCATCTGGATATTTCTCATTGAGCCGTTACAAGTGCGCAGATGCCATCAGCTCGTTCAATTCTCTCTCCCAGGGGCAGCGTGAAACCCCTTGGGTTTTGTCTCAACTTGGACGGACCTATTTCGAACAAGCAAGCTACACAGAATCTGCTAAGTACTTTTCCAGGGTTCAAAAATTAGCGCCCTCTCGTATCGAGGATATGGAGATCTACTCGACCGTCTTGTGGCATCTGAAAAGTGACGTAGAACTGGCCTACTTGGCCCATCAACTACTCGAAGCTGATCGCCTATCCCCTCAGGCATGGTGTGCTATTGGCAACTCTTTCTCTCACCAACGGGATCACGATCAAGCACTGAAGTGCTTCAAGCGTGCGACTATGATCGATCCTGAATTTGCATATGCTTTCACGCTACAGGGACATGAATATGTCGCCAACGAAGAATACGACAAGGCGTTGGAGGCCTATCGCCACGGCATCAATGCGGACAATCGACATTACAATGCTTGGTACGGGCTAGGAACGGTGTATGACAAGATGGGCAAACTTGACTTCGCTGAGCAGCATTTCCGCAATGCAGCCAGCATCAACCCGACAAACGCGGTGCTCATTTGCTGCATTGGTCTGGTATTGGAGAAGATGAACAATCCCCAAGATGCCCTGGTTCATTACGGTCGAGCCTCCTCACTAGCCCCCAACTCGGTATTAGCCAAGTTCCGCAAGGCGCGCGTATTGATGAAGCTGCGCGAATACAAGTTTGCTCTGGCGGAATTGAAGGTCCTGAAGGATATGGCGCCGGATGAGGCAAACGTGCACTACCTTCTTGGAAAGCTGTACAAAATGCTCCACGACAAGGCCAATGCTATCAAGCATTTCACGGCGGCCTTGAACTTGGACCCAAAGGTATGTCCTGGAATATATTTCTCCAAATATCCCTCCCCTTTCTAAGTTCTTTCTGACTGTGATCCCGCACAGGCTGCACAATACATCAAGGACGCAATGGAGTCGTTGGACGACGACGATATGGAGGATGAGGACATAGCGTAGGCCTGTGATGTCCCAGGTCTTTCTATTGGGTTTCCACGGGGGCCCTTTCTTATGAACTCGGCGTTTGAGGGCCTCTTTGCACCGCATCACTGTGGAGTTTTCTTTTCCAGGTTTAGACATCTGGCATATGATGGTGTTCTGTACATTAGTTGAACGATTTTCCCTGGGCATGCATCATAAAAATGGTGCATGCATAATTCCATTATTCTTTGAGGGAAGTGATTCTCATTATTGGCCGACTTCTTAAAATATACTTGATTCTACACTACGCATATCCCCCGCAAAGTGCCCTGGTGACATCGTCATATGCACCTGCCAGGCGGTAAGTCGGCATCGGGGCAGAAAAACGATTCAACGTTTCTACTCCGATTTGCCCTTCCCCACAAGCCATGCATGGCTCAGTCTTAAATTTGATCTTCTATTCCTCTTTTCTTCTCTGATTCCTTTGCCATATTGCAGTCGTGGGTTGGGTGTTACCCACATATCAGTGAACAGAGTACGTGTAGTCTCAAGAAACGTAATTTCCGTCTTCTGACCGCATTTACGCAGCTCTTCTTGACTCGCCCAACAACCGTCATCATGTCTTTCGGCTCTTATATTGTTTCAGGTGTTAGCTCCTTCGTGGTGGTAACCGTATCCCTCTTTGCAATCGGTCAAAAAGTGCCTCGCGCCGCTTTCGCTGCCCGTTGTCTCGCCTCATATGGCTGTCTCCTCGTTGGTGCCGCGTACGGCGTGCTTGTTTCCATCTGTCTGCGGGTAGTTGGATATGGCCGTGTGTCACAATGGGCAGCAGGCCGCAGCTTTAAGTGGCTTATGCGGTTCACAACCGGCGTCAGATTCGAGGTTATCGAAGGCGAAGAATATCTCTCCACACGTCCGGCCGTCTTCCTTGGTAACCACCAGACTGAGCTGGATGTGTTGATGTTGGGTAGTGTCTTCCCGCCGTACTGCAGTGTGACTGCCAAGAAGTCACTGCGGAATATTCCTTTCCTGGGCTGGTTCATGTCTCTGTCCCGGACTGTATTCATTGACCGTGCCAACCGGGAGACAGCCCTCAAGGCGTTCGATGGTGCCGCTGCTGAGATGCGCGATCACCGCCAGAGCGTTTTTATTTTCGCTGAGGGCACCCGGAGTTACTCCGACGAGCCTACCCTACTACCCTTCAAGAAGGGTGCTTTCCATCTCGCTGTCAAGGCCGGTGTTCCAATCGTACCGATTGTGACGGAGAACTATTCGCACGTTCTGTCGCCTCGTGCCTGGCGATTCAACGCTGGGACTATCAGAATCAAAGGTGGGTCATATTAGATCTTGCTAATAGATAGAGCATGGCTAACAATTTTGAAATAGTTTTGCCTCCTATCCCGACTCGGGATTTGACATCGGAGGATGTGGATAGCTTGACCCAGTCGACTCGGGATTCAATGCTCAAAACTCTTGCAGGAATGTCCCATGCGCAAAAGGACGAGGTCGATGCTGCTCGCACCAACGGCGTCTCCAGCGCCATTGAGATTTAAGTGCCAAATCAAAAGTGTGATTCGTCACATAGCTCCGCGCTTTGCACTTACTATATGGCTCTCTTGGTTTGGGTGCATTATCGATTCAAATTAAAAGTCATAACAGGAGAGAGCAAGCCCGAACCCTACAATTTTACCAAGAAATCCGCCCTTGGCACTCACTGCAGTATAATCCTGCCCAATTCTTTGGCTTTCCAGTTCATGACCCAAGAAACATACTTAGAGGGCCCCATACGTCGAACCTATCCGACACCATCCGTCACTGCTCAGGAGAACAACAATGATCTAGACATTCGCATTGCCTCTTGACACACTTTTCACTCTTGATTCACCTCTTCCCTCTTTGCAATTCAAAATGTATATAATCCTTAGCGCAAATGCATGACACGACCTAGCTACTGTTGGAAACTTGATTTTCTTACTTTTGTATATTTGGTTTATATTGGACCATAGAATAGAAATAGGC